TTCGCTTTCGAGTCAAGTCAAAGTCATTTTTTATTTCATGACAGTCAGTCTAAGCCGGAAAAGAACTGCCTTTAATAGGCAAGTGGCAGGTGAGCGAATGTTTTATGACGAATGAATCACTGTGAACCGGTAACCGGCATATTCTGCAATCTACGTTCACTTGAGCTAGGTATTTGGTCAACAGGGAACTCAATAGCCAGCAGTAACTAATGAAAGGGAAAACTTGTTGCTGCTTAAGTGATTTAATTGTGCACAATTATGCATGACGTGATAGGAAACTTCTGAAGCACGTCACGACCGCTCGCATATTGAAGACAAATAATTATATAAGTTTAACTTATTCTAGGAACTATCGCACACCAGAGAAACACAATACCTTCTGTGAAGCACAGTACAGAATTATTTAATATGCAAACGCGGCCCTCTATTGTGCAAACACTTCAAAAGCCATTTATGATGTATTAGGTGTACTACTGCTTCAAGATGATTGTATGATCCGTCGTGCAGGAGAATAAATTTAATTTACTTAATCAGCTTGTAGGTAATGCAATAAGCAGCTTTATAATACCAATGTTTGAATCTCGAAGAGAATAACCGGGCGTGTAGGTGAATCCGTGACCAAGAACAACGTCGCTGCTACATGTTTCAACAATGAACACCATTACACGAGACCACGATAGATTTGCTGATTGGTAATTACATTATGGAAGCATGTCTACTTTGTGCTTGGCTCTAAGATTTAGCAGAATTTGAGTCCAATGGTTTCAAAGACACGGTACAATTGTCATTCAAAAGCTTATAAAATTACGTGCCTCTTGAATGTGATACCCCGAGTTTTATTTTCTACGAAAATTTAATGGTCTTACCCTGTTCTTCACTGGAAATTCCAATAATTATTAATATTTTTTAACACCGCGAATATTTATAAAGTTTCATTTCAAGCTCAAAGGAAGAGGAGACAACTGGCTTCTTACTCTTTTATCTCTATCTCTATCTCTATCTATCTCTATCTATCTCTATCTCTATCTTACGCACTTCAAATCAGCCAATCATGAGCTGGTTCGCGTTTGACAGAAAAGTGGTACGTTTTCACCCCTGTATTGTTTCCTCATCCTCTTAGATTTCAAGCTACTAGACATAATCAAACGTTTTCTGATTTTAAAATCGTTAAATTATTCACAGCGCGACTTACTTCGATCTGTGATATTGCAAAAAAGTCTGCTAATGGGATGAACATTGAAATATTTAGATGACATTTTGGTGATTATCTCTGTCACCGTCTTTTTATCCAACGATCAAATTCGTGAGAGATCTCTTATTGACAATGACTTTTTCAGTACTGAATCCTGTGTTAGTTAACTATTCTGAGCACCTTCAGTGGTGCAAAGGACCAACGTGAGAGCTTTCCATCCTGGCCGGTTGTTTGCTTTTGCTTTAACCTGGGCCCAGGTTAAAATCCTATCAACGGCTGTTGACTAAATGGATCACTTCATTCGAGCAATTTAAAATCATGTTTCCACTAGAACTTTGCCGTGGAAAATAGGATCTTATTTATGCTGAGCTTGAAACATCTTGAATTGATTGCTTCATTTTCTTAAAATTGCTGGTCGAATCGAATGTCGTCCCAAAACTGCTCGACAATTTGATTAATTTGAAAAATTGCAAAATTGTAACGGTGATGGTATACATTCTTGTCTCACACTTGGACATCCTGAATAGGGTTGAACAAAACTCCGTTCAGGACTCTGCACGTGAAAGCCTCTTACTGTGCTTCGATGAGGTTGGTGATTTTTATCTGAGACTCCCTTGCGCCCAGGACGCCCCACAGATCCTCGTTCGGAATTGAGTCTGTCGAAAGCTTTTTCGTAGTCAAAGAATATCAAATACCAGACATGAAAAAAAAACCGACCGTACAACACGGGTACTGATTTTTTTTTAATACTCCTGTGTTCGGTTTTTGTCCAAATTTAGTCTTAATCTCACCACTACTGACAGCATGGCGCCACCTTTATACGGAAATATTTTATTCTAAAAAAGGTTTCAATTTAGTAAAAATCGACATTTTTCAGTTTTCTGCATATAAATCAGCCACCATGGTGTCAGTCAATCAATTTCCCGCTGCTGTTTGAACCACGAACTGTGAAACCCGTGTGGTATTTTTTCAAATTGAACCAAGCACCGTGGTTGAAATTTCGTGAACCCAACACAAAATTCGAGCACATCGGTTTACGGTATTTGAGCTGCGGTTCAGTTCACGAACTCGAAAACCGGTGCTCGGGTTTTATTTAGAAAACCGAACATCGATGCAAAATAAGAATTCATCTAGTTGGAGCAGCTTAAAGTGAACATTTTATACGATAGATGAGAAGAGAGAAAGCATATAGATTTTAAAGATTCGCAGTGTGAAAATTGTATATAGAAAGTAGAAAGCGAGCAAATGACAATTTTGAGGAAGGTTCGAATCGGGTGGAGCATCCCCTTTACCAAACTCATCCGTTGATGAGGGATAGTGAGGGGGGGGGGGGGTGTAATTGTCCGCCACCTCTGACTAAAGGGATGGTTGCCGATTTGCTGATGTACCTCCAATGGGTGGAAACAGTTCTGTCGATTGTTTAACACTCAAGTCGCCACCTGACGTCAGCATCTAGTCGGATAGGTTTTGCAATTGCAGCTATTGACGTTGACGGCACCGCCCAAAAATTGTCTATTCTAGCAAAGATTGACAGTTTCTTATGGGAATTTTCAGTGGAGTGTAAGGATAGTACGAAGTCCGCCATGTTTCACGCACAGTCTGACGTTTGCTTATGGATTTTACCATTGGAGTAAAGAGCTACAGAGTCGCCGTCAACGCCAATTGTTGCCTCTACCACTGTATGTGCTCCTGTCATTGTCAACTTAACGATCCCGAGGAGATACGGCTAGGGGAGGTGCTTCTACTGTACAGTACTGTACCTTACCTTTCGACCAATGACAATATGATTGATGGTAAGCTCCCATCTAGAGTTATGTACTTTAACTAATCATGTTTTTATTACATCATGCGTGGATTCATCGTTCAAAAAGTTCCACAATATTCGATTTCCAAATATCAAATTCTACAGAAATGTGTTAGGTGCGAACACCATTAGGCATTAGACTAACATTTTAATAGATGTTCCTTGCTAATGTTAATGACCAGTACTATCATACCTAAGTCATAACCATTTTGAAATCCGGGAGACGAACCAGCCCAGGGCTGAAAGTCTCCTTAATAAAGATATAAAAAAAAATTGAGAACATCTAATTTTGCATTGCAAATGCTATGTTAAATTAGACGAAGTATACGTTGTATCCAAGGCCCGCGGACACAAAATATATACAGTATAGATCACGTAACATAATAGCCCGAATGTTTATAAGGCCGAATGGTCGTCAGACTCAATGGTTAATATGCTGAATAATATTTTCGGGATTTCACGACAAATGACAAATTTTCGAAACTTCGCAGAAACAAAGAAATATTTAAGATCAAATAAATTTTGGAGAAATCTCCCAGCTTACCCAGACGTAAACAAATTTTGGAAAGCTTTCAGACATAGTGATGTATTTCAGACTTGCTAAATTTCAATTATATATAGACTCGGGTTTAGAAAAAAATAAATAGAGAGTGTTCCGTCTGTTTTAATTTTTTTCGGAATAGAAGAAATGAAGATTCAGGTTTGTTGACCATTGTACCATTGTGAGTGAATCACTCATTTATTGTTTTCATATGTGAGAATTACTTAATGTGGTGTCACGTAAAATTGACAGAAAACGAAAAAGAGTGACTCTATGTTAATTTTGACGTAACTATAACGTGTGAATTATTTTGAGTGTCGATGTTATGGCAATATATATGTTCTAACCGGGTAAAGAAATAAATTTGGTAAAGAAAGGAAAAAATATAAAAAAAATTCAATATAGAGCTAATTAGAGGAGCATTACCGCTAAAAACTTGGGCACTTATCCTATGTGGTTTTGATATTTCCCAAAGATCCAGAATCTTGGAATTATTTTCCAAGTTCTAAATTTTAAATATCTTCCATGTCCTTTTCTCAGCAAATGTTTCAAAGCACCAGTGTTGAAGATTGTTTCATAACATTCGTATAGTTTTTTTTTTAATAACCTCCAGAAATAGATAATCGAATTACTTATATCTTTTTTTCAAATGGTGCGTATGTACTAAAACTGTAGACAACGGCACAAATTTGGTATGTAGTTGTCAAATGATCGTACAAAAATTAACCACATGATGCAACTAAAACAAACAAAAATTGAGCAAACCCATATCGGATTTTTTATGCAATCGGGATCGTAGGTGTGCTACTTCTTGTCATCTTATCCAATACTTTCTTGCGTAATGCCTGTTGAGTTAAAGCTACCCGATCTTCAAAATTGGATACAATGCAAGTAACCGTCCTTTTCTGTTCGTTTGCTCGCACATCTTAATTGGCCAATATTATTAAATACAGTAATGACCCGATTTTGTCGATTCCAAATCTTTCTCATTCATTTTCAAAATGGATGGTTAAGGTATACTTTGGTGCAGTAAGGAGACTGATAAAATCGTGTCATTGCTGTATAACAACTGCGCAATGCTGTAAACCAGTTTCTTCGGCTCCTTTCGCTCTCGATACGTGCGTCTTTTGTACACCAATAATTGCATAATCTCCTCGTGTTGCTCGTTATGGCTTTGGGCGTTCGCAAAACGGATCCTACGTGGGCTTTGGTGACGATATTTATCAAGCGTCTCTATATAGGTGCAAGCGTGGTGATCTTTCAAAGCAGGAACGGACATCATGTAGGTCACCCTGTCTGCTCGGTTTCTTAAACTGGAAGTCATAATTCGCAGTGTCCTGTATAGTAGCCTGTTAGTAGAGATGCTCAAATGTACCACGTTGATAACCTAGATTTTTTTATATAACTTCATTTTTATTGCAGATCACCTGAACTAATTTAACATTTTATTTTGTTATCAATAGATTTCCCGGGAATGTGCTTCGCTTCAACTCGTTGCGCCACCATCGAACCAGGCAAGTCGTGGGATCTTGCTCCATTCTGTGGACGCTCGACCTGCGTAGTATCGGAGACCAATCAATCTCAGTAAGTGATCCTCAACTCTCGAACCCATCACCCATAAGCTAACGTTTCTTCCTTTATCCTTCCCATTCTAGGCTGTTGGAATTGGTTGAGGATTGCGGACCACTGCCACTGGCCAACGACAAGTGTAAGTTGGATACTGACAAGACCAACAAAACCGCTCCATTCCCATATTGCTGCCCCAAGTTCACCTGCGAGCCAGGCGTGAAACTGGAATACCCAGACGCCAAAGCCCCGGAATCCGATGCAGAAGAGAAGAAAAATTAAGTTCAAACTCCTGAAATGAGAAAGACCCCAACATGAGAACAACAAAATAATAGAGTATTAAACACCCAACCTCAAACGTATGTTTCGGTGTACTTCCATTTTTGTACCGATATTAGACGTAGACTATTAAGGCTAATCTAAAGAAATGGCAGAAAAGTGTATTATCGAACAAGGAACACACCATATACCTATTAGTCAAGTATGTGATATTAGAAATATGTATTTATCTGAAAAGTACTATTTTAAAAACACAATGTTTCGTTACCATTCCAACTGTTGGCGTGAAGATAGTGCTGATTGCAGATTTTCACCGGAAGGACAAATTGATCATAGTCGAGCAGTTTTTTTTTTCGATGTCGCTAATACTTAATTTTGTTATGTCACATGAAAAAAGTACAGATGTTTTATGAATAAAGTTCTCATTTTTCAGTACATTTTAATGGAATTTTGTTTAGAGAACATCCCCGGAAGGAGCATCAGCTCAACATTCCATTGATTTCAGGTCCCCGGATGCATTGTGTAATTTATCTAAAAGTCCTACTTTTGATCCTTGGCGCCACTCACATTCACAGCCGCACTAAAACATAATACCAACCGGTGGAAACTAACGATTTTAAATTGACTCACTACTTGACTAGCCTATTGGTCCTTATAAGAGACCCCATTCTAGTCTAAATTCTAGTACTACACTATGTTTGTTTTGATTCGCTATGAAAGTTTGACAGATAAAATGAGGGGCTCGTGGATTTTCCTATGTTTCGAGGGGTGCATCGATTAGCTTGGGACCAAAGAGAGTACCAGAGCTAAGCCAAAAAGTTGAGCACGTTTCTTCGGGACCTTCTAGTATTAGAGTTACCCTATTCTTAGAAGGTCCCGAAGAAACGTGCTCAACTTTTTGGCTCAGCTCTGGTACTATCTTCCGTCCCAAGCTAATCGATACACTCCTCGAAACAAAGGAAAATCCACGAACCCCTCATTTTATCTGTCAAACTTTCATAGCGAATCAAAACCGAAGAGGAAGGGGAGACAATACGAGGGCGAAAACGAACCACTTTTCTGTCAAACGCGGACCAGCTCGTGATTGGCCGATTTGAAGTGCGTAAGATAGAGATAGAGATAGAGATAAAAGAGTAAGAAGCCAGTTGGCTCCTCTTCCTCTTAGATCAAAACAAACATAGTGTAGTACTAGATATTCGATTATAATGGGGTACGCTTATAGATTTACTTGGGACCAATAGGCTAGTCAAGTAGTGAGTCAATTTAAAATCGTTAGTTTCCACCAGTTGATAGTACTGAATGATACTCGTTAATAGTTGGACCTATCCCGAACGTAGAACCAGCATAAACAATAACCATAAAGCGCCCATTACACATGTCAATATATTGACAAACATCGTATTGTCAATTTTTCTTACAATATTATCAATACATAAATATTGACAACATTAATGACAACACGCTAAAGTGCTCGTTACACGGGTCAATATATTGACAGTAAATTGAAATACTGACAATATTATTGAAATTGTAATATTGATGATGATGGATTGATGACGAGTATTGTTGAAAACTGATTTTCATTTCACTTTGTCAATATTCTTCCCCTACCCAAGAGGAGGGAGAACGTATGTCATTTAGATGGACTGACTAACACAGTACCTTCGCGCATGCAGCGAGGCATGCAGTGTTGCCATTTGTTTTAATCTTCGTTTGTGATTTAAAATCAATTTCAAACTAAATAAAAAATGTATCTTTTTACACTCATCAATCCCCCAGGCTTCGTTTATATGGATGTACATTTTCTACAAAATCACAAGCATAATCATGTTATTTTTTTTACTTTAAAATAAAATAAATACTATCAGCGTTTCACATCCCAAGAAACATTGCAAGTTTTATCACTGTTTTAAAGCATGCTACAAGTCTAATTCATAGTCTACAAAACCCCCATAAAACCCTAATTGTTACTTGGGATACCTACCAGTAACGAAAATTAATTATTGTATGCATGATTTTCATTTCTGGTTATTTACCAAAACATCAGCATGATAGTTTCTATTTGGGAAACTGCGTAGCGTGAACGTGGGTTATTCCCGAGGTTATTCCACACGTGTAGTTATTCCGCGCACTCGGTAATCGATTTGATTAAATTCGATTAATTTGGAAGTACATGTCATGTTATCTGTTGTCCTGTGTATTTTCTGAGTCCTGTCAAACAGTTACAACATTTGGTAAACCAATTTGGTATTTGAATGACGAGTCCGCGGAATTACAGCTCACGCAGAATAACCCACGTTCATGGTATATCCAATGTTAATAAATAAACTATATGTGTGGCCATTAATACAGTTCATATGATATATTTTCTTGCACGTCTTCTGGTCATTAGTTGACTAATCATCAATAGTAATTTTCCAGAAAGTATAAGAGAATTTTCATCACGATAAAACTAGTGTATCATTATATGTATGGGTAACATTAGGTAAACATTATTGTTCGAACGAAACAGGAGAGTTCAGTGATATCAAAAATAAAATTGGATGCTATAATTAATCACCTAGTTCTTATATCATTATGAGAACATAATAATAGGCCTGGAATAGATTATTATTTAACACTATTTATTCTAAAAATCCTGAAAATTAATTTAAAATGTGCAAGTATAAGTAAACGTTGGGTGAAAATTGGTTTCTATATATGTCCAGGACTCCGCTGTTTGGTAATTTTTGAACTACGGAACTGTTCGGTAAAAGTTTAAAAATCAGTGAAAATTTTTAAAAATTTAGAAATTCATTGCAAAAATGTACGGCCTAGTTAACTCCATTTAATGATACCAATCAAATTTGTCGATTTTATTGATTTCCTTCGAGTAACGGTCATTTGAAATTTTTTTCCAATTTTTGCAGCTGTTCAAAAACCCGGCAAATTTTAACGACTTCGGTGATCCGAATTCAGTGTGTAGCTAGTATTTTCAATACGTACGGGTCCAGCAATCTTTTCTGTTTGGACCCGAATGCAAACTTTAACTCTAACACTTTCGTTCGCTGATCTATATTTCTTGTGTGGGGAAATTGAGACAAGTAATATTGACTTTAATAAACTGACGGGGCCTCCCTTAGCTCAGTCGGTAAAGGCGCAGCTACAAAGCAAGACCATGCTGGAGGTGGCTGGGTTCGATTCCCGGTCCGGTCTAGGAATTTTTCGGGTTGGAAAATTTCTCGACTTCCCTGGGCATAGAGTATGATTGTACCTGCCACACAATTATACTAATGCATAAATGGTACAGGCATCGAAAGCTCTCAATTAATAACTGTGGAAGTGCATCTAGAACACTAAGTTGAGAGCACGCAATAAGCTAATAATGCCATACGCAATAAGCTTGAAATGCGAAGAAGAAGAAGAAATTGAGGTAAAAAGGCTTCTAAAGTATTGCCATTAATGTTGTCAATATTCGAATATTCGAATTGATGGCAAAATTGACGGTTTTTTGTCAATACTTCCTGAGTATTGACAAAGTGAAATTAAAATCAACTTTTCGTCAATACTTGGCACCAATCATCATCTTCAATATCACCTTTTCAATAATATTGTCAGTATGTCAATTTATTGTCAATATATTGATATGTGTAATGGGCACTTAAGAAGCGCCTAACCACCAATTCAGGATATCATCCCAACTATATAATGTATGGTCGCATCATCTATGACATCGTTTGTGTATGGTACCCGTTTATTAGGGAATGCTTACCCAATGAACTCAAAAAAGTTCACATGTCTGATCGAAGTGTTTAAACAGTTGCTTTTTCTAATGTACAATCACATTTTTGTATAGTCGAGTATTAGTACAATACACAGAAGAAGTCTGCACCTTGTAGACGAAATACGCGTATCTGTCAAGGATAAGCAAATAAGGTAGTGGAATTAAATGGAAATTACTAATCCTTCTCTCTCTCTCTTCTATGAATATTAAAAGGGAATATTCTCTTCTATGAATATTGAAAGGAAATATTCCCCTCTGTAAATATATAATATAGAAGAAAATGATCCCTTCTTCGAATATTAATAATGAAGAAAATATTTCCTTAGCGGCGCTAGTGGTGTAGTGGTAAGCACGACTGCCTCTCACTCCAAAGGGCCTGGGTTCAATCCCAGTCGGCGCCGTCGGGATTTTCTGAGGCATAAAATCTCTGATCACGGAAGTAAAGCCCGGTTCATGAGTTAATGAGTCGATAGATAGCGTCCACCAGGTGTAAGAGCTGTCTCCCTGGTGTCGTCGGTAGCATTGATACTCAGTACGGAAAACAAGATCGACGGAAAACAAATCAAGGAAAAAATACATTTCCTTCTTCGAATATAATGCACTACACGGATACGAATTTTGTACATTTAATTCAAAAATATAAATGTGCTTTCTCTAAACAGATGAATTATTCAAAGTAAAGTGAAAACATGTTGAAAACAAAAATATTTATGATTGAATTAAATTCAAACTTGTTTATTTCAACAATATAGAATTCAATCATATTTGATTATTGATTAAAAACATATATTTTTGTTTCAACAGAAAATATTTTTCAATCAAAACTATTTGTATTGATTTTTAACGACACTGTTTTTGGGGCGTACCCGCGGTAATTTCATAACAAATTACCGCGGGTACTCCCCAAAAAAGTGTCGTTAAAAATCAATACAAATATTTTTGATTGAAAATAACCTACCTATTGTAGCATAACCTACACGGTAATGACCACAAACTTAAATATGAGTATAGTTTACCAATAATCGGACAAAACGCACAAGCTCATAATGTGAGTAACTGCGTGTATCAAATATAAATAAATTTTAGCTTTTTATTATTGAATTTTATTTATTTTTCGGTAAAATTTATCAATAATGCTAAATTCGGGTAAATAATTCTTAGCGTGTCCTGCCTTCTTCCTCCCTTGTTTACATTCGGCTCCAACTACTGGATTGCACGCTAACTTGAAAGTACCCATTTAATGAGTATCTTATACTCGTTTTTTGAACCCATACAAAATTGTCAAAAAATGGGTATTTTGAAAAAAAAAATCATTTTAAAAATGTCTTCTTGCAATAAAAATGGGTACCTACATTATTATTATTTTGCATTTCGGAGACATGTCGAAAAAATGGTAGATCTTATACCAGTAACGCACTACGAAAATGTGATCCACCGACGTTACTGGTTTGAAATGAAAAAAAAAATGCCAAAAGGAACGAACACACTTTTCAGAAAGTTCTCATTTTGATAGAAGTTGGAATTGCTGGAAGATTCCGCAGCATTATTTTTCTGGAAAGTTTGCTCATCGTTCATCAAGTTGAAAATCAGCAAAACATTCTATATATTCTATAAGTACTAAGATAGCATCCATTGATTACGTCACGCTCTAAAGGGGAGAGGGGGTTACAAATGTGTGACAAGCAATGTATTAGGATAGAACAAACGTGACGAAAGGCGGGAGAGGGGGTTGATTTTTCATGTACTTCATGCATGCTCCCTAAGCATAAAAATCTTATGCAAGAAAATTTTACAGTAGGGGAAAGTTGGGCAGCTTGGCCACATTAAGGAAATCATCACTAAGTATGCCAAATTCAGTGGAAAATTCGAAAGATTTACATCATGAATACTAATTGAATACTTTTGATTCTTATGAAAGAAGATTTAAAAAATGTTCGTCTTTTAACCGAAATAAAATTGTTGGGGTAAAATGAACACCCTATCCGGGTGGTATGAGGCTTTATGAATGGTCAACAATGAATAGTTTAAAATAAACTAAATTAAAGAAGCATTTTTTTCTGTAGAATAAATTAAATATAAGAAGTACTGCTTATATATCATCAAATTTTGTGAATGATTGAGTTGCTACAAAGCAGCTGCTTCAAACCGTGATTTCTAGGCACGTATAGAACATTTTTCACGAAGCAACCAAGTTGCTACATTTTTTAGTTGAAAAATACGCCATTTTTAAAAGTTATTTAAATGAGTAGCAAAAAAGGCTCTCATATTGGCGTACCAAAAAATTGTCCAAAATATATAAAAACTTTTTCGAAGGCATCATTTACGGTTTAAGCGCAAAAAATTGTGTCTTCCTGAATACCGCTTTCCGACCATTGTGCAAATGTAAAAAAGTGTTAAGAATTACTGTTCGGATGAGGAAAGATCTCCGGAGTTTATTTGCTAAGCCAAAGTTTATAGTCGCTAAACTGGGCTAGAACTACCGATTTGGTTTATTGAACTTAATAGTATTCTATTTTTATAACAAATGACTGGCGTCCAATCTGCGTAAAATAGTGCTGTAACGAAGTAATACAAACCATCCTTTTTAATTCTGTTGCGTAGCTTTCCCTTTCCTTGGTCTCTCAGTCCATGGCGCCCGAGATAAGTAGGTATCCGTAGCAAGGCCCTTCGAATTTGTTGGTTGACTTTTGTTTTTAGAACGGTAGTTTCAATTTTCTTGGGAGCTATTCTTTTAAATAAATTCATAACCTATTCCAAACTGGAAACCTTTTTTCACGCGATCGCCTGCTTCGAATGACAGTGGGTGGCAGTAGTTGAATTCGATACGTGCCTTCTGGCCTATCCTAAATGCAAGACCCGCACCAGCAGTGCTACGTAGTTTGTCTGCAACATCATTAGTTCAAAATATGTTTGATCATAAGTCATAATTTTCATTTGATATTAACCTGTTGTAAAAGCATTGCAGGTTCCAAAGTTGTAGAATAAATGCGTCCTGAATAGATCTCCAAAGCCACCGAAGTATCTACTAAAAGGCAGGGGACTCCACACATGAATTCCGGACGCCCAGTACGACTAATGAATGTACGTGAAAATTAGTTCAGGAGAGTTTTGCAGTAATAATTTCTATCATACCTGACATCCAGCGGCAACACCATCCCTATAAGGACCGGCACCGGCGATTTCAAAACCTCGCAATGACTGTGGTCCACCAGGGAAGAACAGCTGATTGATGGGGACGGCTTCTTTACGTTTATCATTTATCAGCATTCCGATTCTTCCACACATTTGCATCGAGATTCCGGCAAATAGTGGCACATTTAGCTCACAATGCAAGTCACTTTTCACAATACCCAACTGGGTGAGCGAACTACCCATCAGTTCGTTGGTAGTTTTTATGAACACTCCATTTGTAGGGAACACATTGCTATCGCGACCTTCATAGACACCTATATAACGAGCAATAGCCGCCAACTTGGGACCACAGTTTTCCCGGATGAAGAATGGAGTCTGCTTATCTAAAGCGAAAATTTCCTTCATACCAACTTCGTATTGCAGACTGTTGCTCAGTCCAAACGGCAGCATGAACGAGAAATCCAAAAGCAATCCTGTTTCATCGGTGCGAAACTTGGACCACGGTGCAGGCGATGAGTGTTTGAAAACCGAAATGGACGTTCTGTGGTAGAAATTACAGGGTGGCATTTTAAGTTTTTAAGGTACATCTCTTCCTGGTATATAAGAAGGAGCGAAATCTACGATTTTACTTACTCTGGACTGTAATCTCCAACCACCGTATGGTAGTACGGTTTCGTAAACCTCAGATTAAGTACGCTGCTTCTAACATAGCTGTAACTGTAGTTTAAACTAAGCCTTTCGCCACGTCCAAAAATGTTTGGCGACGTAAGTTCTAAAAATAACTATGCTTACATAGAATTCTATGCAGATACATTTTGCAAATAAATACCTGCAGTTGCAGCTCCGTCGTTTTGGCCCAGCTCGGTGCCTATGCTTCCAGTAATGCGAGAAAGTTCATCTCCCTTAAATGTAACCTCATATCCATTTTTGGTCGCACCTTCCCCTTTGCTGGTATCAATGTGAATCTTCAAATTCTTGAAAATGCCCAACTGCATAAGGTTATCCTTGGCACTATCAAAACAATTCGTTATATTTATTTAGTGTAAATTAATAAAACTTAAAAAACATACGTTGTTGTCTCCAAAATAACATCCTGGAAATTGCTTGCTGTGAACAGGCTCCTAATCGCTCGCTGAATGTAATCATTTTGAGTTCTGCTGAGGCCACTAACATTTACACGATCAACACGGGCTTTGTATCGCGTAAAGTCGATATCACCTTTCCGAGTAGATTCTGCATCAGGCTCCTGAAGCAAGATTCAAGATAGAAATCACGCTCAGCCGGAACATTTGATTACACCAAAAACCTCACCTTTGATTTGCCGCTTCCCATCTGTAATCCTTTAGATCGTTATGTAATATATTTTTAGAAAAATACAACACTTCCTATCTGTTTAGGTGGCGAGTGATGTCAGCTGCTATTTGTTGTTCGCTTTTACAAGAAAAACATTAAATTTAACACCCAATTTATCCCATGAAGATCAGAAAATAGTCTACGACACGCACTCTTATTCCTATTTGGGTATCGTTGCAAAGGAAATTGTGAACGAATTTTGACGTTTCAGCCGCACTGGTGTTATTTTTGTTGTATAGTTTGACACAAGCAAGGTAACTACAAGAAGAGGTTAACAAGTTGACTTAAATAAAGGCCAGCCGTCACTCGTTAGACATGCAATATGCAAGATTTGCAACATTTTAACGGAGCACGCCAAAATGTTGCAAATCTGCCCGCATAAACGCGAACCATAAATTGACCTTACCTAAAATGGTTAAAAATTGTTTATAATCCCTGCTGAACTTTAACTGAAATGGTTATTGAACTTTACTTGAACGTTTAATGATAAAGTTTCAACCTTATGTATTATGGTTTTTTGGAACTGGACCTTACAAGTAATGGGTTGTTAAGAACCATTACCATTCAAAATTCTTGTTTTCTCCAAGTTGGCTACATATAGGTGTTCTAATGTGTCAAATTCATGATTTATCCATGTTGGATTTTTGTATGGGACAGCGACCGAGTTTGTTTACAATTTGCTCTAAAACCGCACTTTCCCCCCCCCCCCCCCCCGCGACCTCCTCGCCTATATAGTGACAAAGCTGTATCACCATTTATATACCCACCATGGTTTTCTCCATACATTTTCAGAAAGAGAACTATATATAAGTAGAGTCGGTGTATAATGAGTCACGCCAAGAGTGAAGCCAAGTCTACCTATTGAACTGTCAAATCGGCTACCTATCGTGCAAAGTAAATAAACATTACGATGCTACGAAAGGTCCAAGAAAGGTATTGCAATGAAATATAAAATAAAATTGAAGAAATCATCATAAACACGCAGCGAGCATTAAATGGTGATGGGATACGTTTGGTTTTGATCAGTAATGAGAATTTCTACTATTTTTTGATAAGATAATTTGATAAAATCACTGATATTATGATTCACTACAGCCGTTATTTTTGGTTTTTGCTTTTGGTTTTGCTAGTTGATGTAGAAGTCCTCTGTTGCCAAGTGAAAAGAAAGGGAATCCTTCGGAAACCGTGATGCGAGTTCAACTGTTTTTCTCTTGGCGTGACTCATTATACACCGACTCTATATATAAGAACGTTTTTACTTATGATTTGAGAACATTAATGGTAATGGTTATGGTAGTCAGTAAGGTCCATTAATGGTTTTGTATTATCGCTCAACTTTACGTGGAAAATATATTTTTTTTTGCAAATACCAGCATTTGCAGTAATACAAAACTTAAACCACAAACGAAGTGACAGACGACTTACTGGCGAAGAAATCCATTTAAATAATGTGGTTCACTGTAATAGAATTTTCTTGGAAGCTTGTGCCATCATCCACCAGATGGGTTAGTTTTTTTGTTTTGATTTGAACAAAGTTGATTTTGTGTACAATGATTCTTTGACAGTGTGCAAAGAGTGCGTATCATTTTGTCATTTTTTTAAGCATTTCAGTTTTGAGTAGAGTGAGTGAGATAGAACCAAAACATTCTAATACATTTGGTGAAAATGGTAGTACAATCCAGTAGTAGTGTTGCCATGTGGTACAATCCAGTAGTAGTGGTGTTGCCATGTGGTACACTGAAAAATTGAAATAGCAGGTTAGTCACCAAAGTTTTCGAGCCGCTCCGTCTGTCACTTCGTTTGTGCTAATAGTACGTTCAGACTACAGAGTTATAACATGTTATAGCGCTATCTTGATTGTGGTTTCTGTGTTGCAATTAATTGACAACCGTTATAACATGTTATAACTACTCAGTCTGGCCAGCGTTTAACCTGCTATTGCAATTTTTCAGTGTACCACATGGCAACACCATTACTACTGGATTGTACGTAGTAGTGTTGCCATGTGGTACAATTTACCTCTATGCTACTACTAGATTGAACTAGCATTTTCACCAAATGTACTAGAATGTTTTGGTTCTATCTCTTTCACTCTACTCAAAACTGAAATGCATAAAAAAATGACAAAATGATACGCACTCTTTGCACACTGTCAAAGAATCATTGTACACAAAATCAACTTTGTTCAAATCAAAACAAAAAAAACTAATCCATCTGGTGGATGATGGCACAAGCTTCCAAGAAAATTCTATTACAGTGAACCACTTCGTTTGTGCTATTAGTCACCAAAGTTTTCGAGCCGCTCCGTCTGTCACTTCGTTTGTGACTTAAACTATACTTTTGAATTATTGAGTTTTTTTATTGTTCAATAAACATATATGATCAAATTATGGCTACCCGCTTTCCAATGACAGTGTTCTGTGGCTTTTGCTCTAATACCCCGGACAGACTATAGCTTATATCATGTAATATAGGCTGTCTTGCAATGAGCACTCATACATAGGATTTCCAGTGAAAACTAGATGTATGAGTGCTCATTGCAAGACAATCTATATTACATGATATAAGCCATAGTCTGTACGGGGTATAATTTTGCCTTTGCTGCTGATAATCCTGTGAACATGTTGAAGGGTCTATAATTCAAAATCTTTGAGAAGTAATATATTTCACCTAAAGTAACACTGGATGATCCAAAATGTCTAAACCACTCACGGAAAGCTAAAAGCGGAAGCCAATTTCAGGGACAGGGAGAAGCCAGTGGAAGCTATGTTTAGGAAGTGGATTGATAAGATACTACTGCTGCTGCTGCTGCTGCAGCTCAGCAGTTCCATGTCACATGCCATTTTACATATTTGGTTCCCTAGTTTTGTACACGATTAACACTTGAAAAGGGCTTATGCAAACATGATACGCATCAATAGAAAAACATATATCTCGCGAACGATTTGTTTGATCGAGATGGTGTTTTCGGCGAGGTTGCGGACAAGAATTGTGCCTTTAAAAAAAATATACACTGTAAATAACTATTTTATTAAAAAAAATCAAAATTATAAAATTGAATTAAAATTACTAAAATTGCAGTTTTTTATACAGGGTGTTTGGTTCCGGGATTTACATATTTTCAGGGTAGATGGGGCTCCTAAAGTTATGAAAAAATCCCCATGAAACATAGGGTCGGAAATGACTGCTAAGTGAGTTATTCATCATTCTATGTTTTTTTGACGTAGGACTACGTCTTTGATTTCTATATGGGGGTACACTTTGTGAAAACCGAAAATGGAACATGTAACAAATTAAGAAAGATTTTGAAGGTTAATAAATCAGCTGCCCCTGGTCCAATTTCAATAATTTAATCGCCAATCGATCAGAAATATGGCTACGCATTGATATCAATGTTTCGAATGTTGGTTTTCAACAAGAAACTATTGAAAAACTGGTAAATGTCCAGCATTGTCCAAAAGCGCCGAATTAACTAACAAAACCACCAATTACCTACATGCATATGATGCTTCCCCAGCACAGTCGTCGTAGAGTAGTAAGTAGACGAAACACGTTAAAGTGGTATTCGCCTCCGATCCTCGGGCGCGTGCGAATAGGAAGGATGGCATTGCGTAATATTTTGCACACTCATCACTATATACTGGTGCATCGCAACTAATGCGAACGCTCATCACCTGTTCTACAGACAACCAGTTCTGCCGGTACCATATTTTCTCACTTCTCATTGGTTACTGTGTATAGCTAATAGGAAGCGAGAAAATATGGTACCGGCAGATATAATGTATATAAGAGGTAGCTAACTGCGCCTTCGCATTAGTTACGGTGACCGATCACGTTTGTCATAGTGGTCTTTGGTTTTTTGTTCATGATTCCGTTATAAAAAATCTGGGACTTTGAACAGTTATCTGAAGTCAATGAATTGGAAAATTGGTAACTACACTGCAATGCTTATTTCTGTTTGCAAACTTTGTAAACATATCAAACAGAAATGAATAAATAGTGTATTACTGAATTATAAGTGGGGATGGGTGGCATTCATTAGCCTGAGAATACCCTCCAGATGCTAGCCTCTTCACCAACCATACATCAGTACACACTTATCGAGTCAGTAATTTTTACCGAGTTTTTGAATTGCAGAACTCTTCGGTAAAAATTAAAAAATCTTTAAAAAATTCAAAGTTGAGAAATGTGTTACCAAATTTTACAGACTAACTTCTGTTAACCCCGTGTAATGATGAAAAATAAAAAAAAAATCGATTCATTTGAATTTTAACCGAGTCACTAAACTAAAAATCCAGTAAAAATACTAACTCCTGTAAAAAATCTAAGTGTGTATACAGAAGCAGCGGAGCTCCACACTCCTCCATCGAAACAGCACCGCAGCTGAGCTGCGAGTGCTATGAAATAAAAAGGACATCGACTTATTACCACTACCTACTTCTCTCCCTTCCGCTCTCAGAATTCGCCAATTCGGTGTCTCTCGTTGTGCTTTCTGTTGAGACTGAGCAATATTCGATACCACGAAACATCTCCGCAGTTATGTTTTCTTTCGGCGCAGGAGATGTGCGGTAATCAAAAGTTAAGAATGTAGCTAAACATCTACAATAACATTCTACCAAATTTTCATGTGCGTAGTCCACTGCAACAGCCGAACGTACGAATGAATAGGGTGACTATAGCGCATTTTAAGAAAACGTCACAAGTTTTTATGGCTGTTTTAAATCAATAATTACGAAGAAACCATAAAGCCTACAAGGTTACTACCAAAGACACAAATCTAGGGAACTGTATGGAGAATGTTTTGTAGAACAACTAAATAAACAGAAATGAAAATTTTCAACTTAAAAACACTAAAATGTATGAAATTTCACCAGTTTTTTCGGTACTTTCAACATACTTTTCAATTTTAATGTATGATAATTAACTTTAATCGAGTTCTTTTCTAGACAGCATTGATAGCTAAGACTTTAATCTTTCATTTGGTATGTTGAAATCAGAAAACCACATTAAGATTAAAAAAATATAGCTAACCAAAGTTGGCAATACAAAAAAAAACATAAAATGTTGAATAACTCACTTAGCAGTCATTTCCGACCCTATGTTTCATGGGATTTTTTTCATAACTTTAGGAGCCCTATCTATCTTAAAAATATGTAAAACCCGG